CGGGACGCTGCTGTCGCCACCGATGCAGCCGGGAATGAATGCACAGCGGCGCCTCACTTATCCGGAGGTCAAACATCCTTCTGCCTCGGGCATCCGGATCGGCGCCGGACCCGGAAGTGAACACATGGAAAAAAAATAAAAAAAGGAAAGCGTCTCTCTAGCCGCGGCGGCGGTGGCCCCCAAGCTGCCCGCATCAGCGAAAAGAGCCGAGCAGAGCCGAAGATTGCACCGACTGCTCGGATTGGTCGGATCATCGACCGGAAGAGGGGCCGCGCGCTCATTGGCTGGGGGGGGGGCCAAGCCACTCCCCTCCGCTCCTTCGCTCGAGCGATTGTGGATACGAACGTGTTCTGTGTGTGAGGCCGTGGGTGGAGGAGGAGAGGTTTAGCAAGGTCTCCGGAGGGAACTGGAAGAAAACGCACCCGTGGATTTAGAGATCTACCAAGAACTGAGCGAGCAAAAGAGCTTTAAGGGCGCCATTGTGCCGGGCACGGCCCTCCAGGTGTCAAAAGAATCCGAAGGCCTGTTCTGAAAGAATGACATCATTGGGTTGACCTTTCCTCCCACTTCTTTGTAGCGTCAGTGCTATATCAGGGATTCTACTGCTTAGAAATATAAATTGTGGCTCGCGTTTGCATCTCATTTGCTGGCTATGGAAAACTCAGTTTGTGAGCTCAGGTAATCCTCTGCGCTGTATAACGTAGCTGTTATCTTAGTTTTTCAAAAGAATCTCCTGAAGTTCCAGAAGGCCAAACATGACTCAAGTCGTCAAGCTGTAGCAGGCAAACCAGAATCGGTGCTTTCTGACGCCACTTTCCGCACAAAAAGAGCAGATTATATCCCTTCCTGTCTCCCTCTTGTAGCGGGTTAACTGGGATGGACATAGGCCTTTTGGAAGACTTCTATGGAAATGGATCCACCCTGAAGCACGGTGGCAGACTCTGAAACTATCATTTTTGTTTAATGGTTATTCTTAATGTTACTTATGTCCAAAGTCCTTCCTAAAGTTAGGTGGTAAGATCTGTATGGAGGAAAAAAATCATGGCCTGGTGCTGTGTTTTAAAATACTCATTTTTAACCGTTTTTATATTTTAGATTCACTCAAGACGCTGGGGTATGGCATGTCTGTGTCTTGTTCTCTCAGTGTCTCTTTCTCAAAATGTAAAGGCCCCAGTGAAACAAATGCACTTTAAAATAAGGCTTTATCTCATTTCCCCTTCTAACATTGACAGACTGATGACAAGGTTGATGTGTTACCTTCAGAGGGGTAGGTAGTATGGAAAGATGCTGGTTTGTTTAGTTTTAGTACTACAACAATCTTTTTTTCTCTCTCTCGCTTTCCACTTTCCCCAAAGGGGAAGATTAAGAAGTCACTAGGATCGTCTTAAAAGAGCAGTTTTAAGAGCACTGCTTCCTCCTTAACCACACCATCATCCTGTAAGAGACTCAGAAGTAGTCAGAATCAGGTGGGCAGGTAGCTTGGTAGTTGGGGGTGCTGGATTCCCACGTGGCTGACCATGGTTCGAGTCCCAGACATGGCGGCTTGGTTTCTTACTTTCCCTTTCTTTCTCTCATTCTGTCCCTCTCTGGTCAAATTAAAATAAATAAATATACAAGTAAATAGAGTTTAATTTAAAAAATCTTTTAAAAATAAGTAACCAGGATTTATGCATGTTCAGACTTGGGAATCATTTTCTTAGATTCTCTCCTAAAATGTCTAATCTATCTCAGGATCCGATATTAGACAAGAAACAAAACTGGCCCTATCTCAGTAAATGGCGAAGAAATATCTGTAGTACAGGAAATGGTAAATACTGTCCTCAACTCCCAACACACTGTAATAGTCTATGCTGTCTGCCCCAGAAAACTCAGTTTAGATAAAGAACACCAAGCCCTCTAAGTGTTGATAAATGTTTACAAATTGCCAAGTAGATAAATGTATGATCAAATCACACTTTAATTAGATGTGGATTAGAATGAATGTTTATAGCTTTTAATACTTCACTAAAAATTTTTTGTTAACATTTGGCCTACAGGTTCCTACAGATACAAACTGACGCATAACCTAGCTAAGAAGCAACGAAATAGACAACTCTCTCTATTATATGGGGGGAAAATGGCAATATGAAAATATCAATAGCTTCCATGGAGGAGGGAGAAGCCAAGCTATAGCATCTCAACCAAAACTCTTTGTTTTATAAAAGATGTGTCAACTAAGGAGCAGAGATAGCACCCCTTCCCATCTGCTCATTACCAAGTTCATTTGTTGTGTCACCCCGTATTTCCTGGGATTGCCTCTCTGCAGGTGTTTATAGCCTATTAATATTTCTCATTACGATCATACCATCAATCTATGTGTTTGTGCCGTCAGCAGTCTTTTACAGTACAGTGGAAACTTGCATTTATCAAATTTCTCTTTTGACAAAAGCATTCTCTTTATGTGCTACAAAGACTGTTTGAGAGAGAGAATGGTGTGTAGACTTTGTGGAAAGTGAAGCAGGCTGTTTTTCCTGCTCTGGGGCCAGTAAGTTTTCAAATGGAACAGAGAAGGAAGTGGAATAAGGTTTTTTAAGCAGAAAATTAAGATATTTAATAAACTGTTTCAAAATAAAAACAGATGAAACATTTCATCTTCTTCTAAATATTCTAGCTGTAGGGATAAACTTGCCGTGGTTGGTGATTTACTGGTACCATAGGGTAAGGCCTGGACATCACTAAACTATACTTACATATGTCTTTTTTTTTTTTTTTTAATTCACCGCAGGTATTTACAGGGACAGAGGATGTGTGCCTGCCACCTCCCAACAGGGCATGGTCACACCACAATCCCTTCTCCACCCCGTTGGGATTTGGGACATGCACACACACATGTGTGGTGCATGTTTTTCAAGCCACTGGGGCTGGGATGTGAATGATGGTCCAAACTGCCCTTCAGATGGTTCAAAACCCCAGTTTATACCATCCTCAGAAGGTTGATCATAATTGTTCACAAATTAACGTAGAAGAATCACAAAACTTTTCTGAGAGCCTATATTATATTTTATAATAATGATCTTCAGGAATTGCTAATAAAATCTTGTTTTTAGGACTCTTTGTCTTAAAAGACTACCATATCACAATACCATAGACTGGCTGGCTTAACCAGTAGAACTATGTTGTCACATGTTTCTGGAGGCTGGAAATCCAAAAGCAGAGTGAGGGCTCTCTTCTTGGCTTTCAGATCAGCACCTTCTTCTGGTGTCCTCTCGTGGCCTTTCCTTGGTGTGTGGGCATGGAGAGAGAATGAGTGTGATCTCTCCCTCTGATTCTCAGCTTAATCCCTCACAGAGGGCCCCACCCCCGTGACCTCATGTATACCAAATTACCTGCCAAAGGCCCCACCTTCACCTACCCGGAACTTTAGGAGTTAGGGCTTCTACACATGAATTGTGAAGAGACAGAATTCAGCCCATGGCACTCCTTGGGCTGAAATACTCCTTAAAGGAGTATTTTCTATATAGAGAGTCTAGCCATCTATAAATAAAAGAAGGTGAAAGTGAAGGTTAGACAGGATGTTAATAAGAGAAGACAACTTGCAGACAACAATTGTTAAAACCTCACAGGGGGAAAAAAAGAATTCATTATGAAGAGAAAGAACTTCAATAAAGAAAACACTCTATAGAGCAAAGGTATAAACACCATAAAAGCATAGAAATATATTGCCAAAAAGAGTGGCTAAAATCTCAAGCTACCAATTTAATTTTTGTTTTTTTCCATTAGCAGGCCTGAATTTTGGCAGCTTTTAAGCAAGTTTGGCTATCAGAGGAATGTTGTTTCATGATAAATGGAAGCGCTAGCTAACGCTGTGTTTTTGTAATGATTTCAAAGACACCTTGCATTCTGGGTAACACAGGAGTCTAAAGTTCAGAGAGGACCGTAACGATTAGTCCCTGTTCCATTCTCCGTCCCCTTGTCTTCTTCGGCTGCCCATAGCTGTATCTCCGTGTTTGGAACTCAGGAGCCCAGCCACCTCATACGCCATACCTGAGAAGGGCCCTATCTCGTCAGCACGTCCCCAAGGAGTCTTGTTCTCTGTCTGAGGGTGGATGCATGGTGTGCTACATCAGAGCCGGAGTGCAGGTAGACTCCAAGTATGCTCCACCCTGACATCCTCACATCTCTAATGCTTCTCCTTTGGTGTCCTTTCCTACTGGGAACGGTGGCCTTTCCCAAACTCCGTATCCAATGTAGACATTTTCCCCACAGTTCTGACTAGATCTAAGTCACTGACTAGGTTCTGCTATTGTGGTTTGCCCTCCAACTACATTTCCCTTACCCACTGATTTGGCTTGCCGGATTACTGTATCTTGCTAGATAAAACCGTAGTGGTGTTCGGCCAGCAGATGGTATGGAAATTAAGGCAGCTGGATCCCATGTGGGGATGCCCACATGGGATCCAGCTGCCCTAACTTCCATACCACATAGCAAGCCAGATCCAGTAGCTTGAAAAACATGCTGGGAGCATGTGCAAATGTGCCCAGAATCTAAAAGAATGGAAGCGAAGAGATTGAAGTATGGCCATCCCTGCTGGGGGGTGATTTCTCAGCACTCCCACCATCTGTGTCCAGCAAGCACATCTCCCTACAGCAAAACTAAAACTAAAAATGAATTGTACTGGTGCCCAAACTTACCTAACCAATGTCCAGACTTCATGTGCCCTGTGGACAGTGAACAGGGAATACATCATTAGGGTCTAAAGGTGTTTACTCTAGGGTGCGTGCACTTGCCAGAGAGAGAGACAGTGAGAGGGAAAGTGAGGAATCACCGCCCCGGGGGGGGGGATGACTACACCACAATCTCTTCTTCTCCATTCTCCTCTAGAGATTTTTGAGCACACATGCCAAGCATGATTTTCAAGCAACCAGATCCAGGACTCGAACTGCTGTCAGCAATGTGGGAGTCCAGTCCCTTAATCACCACACCACTTGCTGATCCCCATAAAAGTTTACAAAAAAAAAAAAAAAAATCCTCCCTTTCGTTTAGTTCTCATTCTGCTTCTGCTGTAATTAGGATTATGATAGCCCCTCCTCATCCCCAGTTTTTATTTCTGCAGTTTCACTTACCTGATTAAGCCATGGTCAAAAACAAAGTAAATGGAACATTCCAGAAGTAAACGATTTATAAGTTTTAAATTATAGCCCTTCGAAGTAGAGTGATGAAATATTGCACTGTCCCAGTCTGTCCTTCATCAGCACAAGCAAAAGTACAGTGCAGTAAGCTGTGTAAGAGAGACCACATTCTCCTTTTATTATGTATTGTTATAACTTTGTTATTGGTTATTGTTACTCTCTCGCTGTACCTAATTTATAAATTAAACCTTATCGTAGGTATGTCCATAGAGGAAAAACAGAGTCCGTGTTTTGGTTCTATACCTAGCCTCAGGCATCCGCTGGGGTCTTAAAATAGACTCATCGCGGATAGGAGGGGAAGACCGCATACCGCCTTTCAGTTTCCTTCTGTAGTCCTTCTCTGAGTAAGCTCTGTCTAAAGCTCGGCTCACCTGTTACAAGAGGCGGGAAGCCTACATCGTATTAGCATCATGACGACTAAACGCAGTGATAGGTCTGCAGTGTACTTACCACGGCGTCGGACATCTCGTAAGCACTAAATAAAAAGGCCGACCCCTAGGAGCCTGCATTTCCCAAGCTAGCATGAGCAGTAATCAAAAGTCGAAAGTATCGGCTCTGAAGCTGTTCACTAGTGTGAAGAGTCCAAGATCTGGAACCAGACTTGTATTCTGGGGCAAAATATTATTGGAATTTACTCCAGGCCCTATTTTTCTTTTTTTTCTTTTCTTTTTTTTTTTTTTTTTTTTTGAGAGGTTTTTGCTATAGGGCACGTGCGCTCGCCAGAACGACAAAGAGACAGAGACACAACGCGAGAAATCACTCCCCAGGGGGGATGGCCACACTGCAATCCCTTCTCCTCCATTCTCCTCTCAGGATCTTGGGCATGCATGCACACGCGCCCAGCGTGAGTTTAAGCCACTGGATTCAGGATTCAAACCACGGTCCGACTACATGGGAGCCCAGCGACATAACCCTTATGCTAACTGCTGGTCCCCAGGCCCTATTTTTCTTGACATTGCCAGACATGTAAGTATGTTGACTGTCCACCATCTGTGTGCCTTTTCAGATTTCCTTTTGGTGAATTTTTTCCTGCAGACCTGGTGTAAGGTGGGGGAGAAGCAATGAGAGACGTCGCACCTAAACAATGCCGGTGAGATGCCCTCTCCCTCGGTGTGAATCCTGAGCAGAAGGTCCTGAAAACCATGAACAGCTGGAGCGGCTCTCCACCCCCAGGGCAGTGTGCTGACCACCCAGTTCCTGGCACAGAGCGGTGGTGGGATCCTACTGCCCAACCTCTGGGGCAATTTGAATTCTCCCAAACCAGGTCTTCCTTCCAGTTTCTGTCAATTCTATGAAATTCCTTTTCGCCCCCAAATTGCCTTCCACTCCATTGGTTCTCGTGCATTACCCAGAGCACTTTTCTAATGTTTGCATCTAAAGAATCCTGATGACAAGTTTTCGCTCCTGACTTCCGGTTCAGCTCACCTCCGTCTCTCCAAGTACCCTTTCCTTGTGTGGTCTGGAGCTGTGTCCACATGGACACTTGAATTCTACGCCACGGTTCAACTTGACCTCACTGTTTCGGCTCCCCCGACTATCATCTGTCTGTCTCACTGTTGTCAGGAGGCTCCCGGGCTTCAGGCTTGAGTTCTAATTGACAAAGCCAGCCCCACCCTGCCAAAGCTTTGTACTTCCGTGCAGCTGCTCCTGTCACCAAGCAGCCCTACCTCAGCTGAAGGCTGAAACCCTGCCAACGGCAGACCTGACTCTTTGGACTGTGACTCAATGCTTTGTGCTCTGCCAGCTTGGGTGACCTGATCTAACTGAGAACAAATTTCAACCAAATGCCAATAGTCCTGCTTTCTAGAAGTTACTTTAACTTAAGTTAGTGTATAGCTGTCCATTTGTATCCATGATAAAAGAGCCCATATAATCTGGTATCCCATTTTCTTTATATATATATATGCATAAAACCTCTGCTTTTCTGATCTTCTTGACCCATATGCACAAAGAGAAGTCAACTTGATCCCTTCACAATGGAATACATTCTGGGTTCTAAAGTTACTGTCGCTATCTGGGTACCTGGTGATAGAGCAGTGCTTGTTTCGACAAGCGGCCTAATCAACTCAGAATAGTAAAGATAATTCAGTCGTGGAGTGTTGGGGCTTCAAACCACAGCTGCTGTTCTCAGCTTCCTGCTACATGTCTTTCAACCAGACATTAATATCTCACTAAGACTCCATCAGTCGTGTCGAGCAGCCTGCTCTGATGGAGTCAGAGCCAAGGTCCCAAAAAAGAATCTGACTTTAGGATTCATTTCCTCATATTAGAAAATCCAGTTGCATATGATTAAATGACAACCATCAGTAAACGTTAAACTCAGCAGGCGAACACATTACCCAAAGCAATAAAAATAATTACGTGGCAGATACTAGGATTGTGATTGAGAAATAAAGGGAAGCAATGATGATTTTATTCTGCACACACAAAATAATTCTTTGGGATTTTGTTTGTTTGTTTTTTGCGATAGGGTACATGCACTTGTGGGAGAGAGACAGAGAGAAGGAAAGTGAGAAATCATCCTCCCGGGACGATGGTCACTCCACAATCCTTTCTCCAGTCTCCTCTCAGAATTTTGGGCACACATGCACACATGCCCAGCGTGTTTTGCAAGTCACCACAACTTTGACTCAAACTGTGGAGTCAGCCAGGTATGATGCAGCGCCTTAACCACCATGCCACCTACTGTCCCCTACGAAATGATTTTTTTTTTTTTGAGAGGTTTTCAGGTTTTCGTTATAGGGCGCGTGCGCTTGCCAGACAGACAGAGAGAGACATAGAGACAGAAAGGGAGAAATCACCCCCCGGGGGGATGGTCACACCGCAATCCCTTCTCCTCCATTCTCCTCTCAGGATCTTGGGCACGCACGCACACGCACCTGGCGTGAGTTTTAAGCCATCAGGTCCGGGACGCGAACCACAGTCAACTACGTGGGAATCCAGTGACATAGCCATTACGCTAACTGCTGCTTCCCCGAAATGATTTTTTTTAAAAAATCATAATTCCAGGACCAGCAGGTGGCATAATGCCTAAGTCGCTGGATTCCCATGTAGTCAACCGCAGTTTGAGTCCCAGACCAAGTGGCTTAAACTCACGCTGGGCTCATGTGCATGTGTGCCCAAGATCCCAAGAGGAGAATGGAAGAGAGGAGATTGCAGCGTGGCTATCTCCCTTAGGGGGTGATTTCTCTCATTTTGTCTTTCTGTCTCTCTTTCTGGCGAGCACACATGTTCTATAGCAAAAGCCTCTTCAAAAAAAATCATAATTCCAAGTCACTTTAAAAAGTAGTCATTTATTTTATAAGTTATAAATTGTATAACCTATTGGATATATTATAAGAAAAAAATTGCAAAAAACTTTCTGACTTTTCAGTAGTCATATTGTTGGTGGTAGTATTGATATTGTTCTTCTAACTCGTATGTGTGTAATGTGGAATAAAGGAAAACGAGTGATTCTGGTATAGTCTAATTCCTCTGTTCCTGTCGTTGAGATGAATGAAAAGAGACCCCAGTGGAAGAGCCGATAGCCTTGAGTCTGAATTGGAAGTATCGTCATAAACATGCAAATATTGTACATAATTATTTCCTAGCTCAGTTTACTGAAAAGGCCCAGAACACGCCCAGCTCTGCTGCAATGAGTATCTTTAACTTCCACACACCAGACTCCGAACAGCAGCCTTTGGAGGAATGACGGGTGGAATGTGGCACCATCTCAGTTTCCCATCTCTGCTGTAAAAATTGCCGCACATCTAGTGGCTTGAACAACACAAACGTATATGGGTCTGGAGGTCAGAAATCCGAAAGGGTTCTCACTGAACTATAATCCAGGGGTCGGTAGGGCTTGTTCCTCTGGAGACTCTAGGGGAGAATTCATTTGCTTAAGTCATCTAGAGGCTTCCTGCAGTCTCTGTTTCTGTCTTGGCAAACATCACACCTCGCAGAACTCTGCTTCCATCCTCAGGTCTCTTCTGCTGCGCTCCGCTGCCTGATTCCCACTCACAAGGACTCCTGGATTACACTGACCCTCCAGGATGATCCAGGATAATCACCCTGGTCCCAAATCCTTAATTTACTCTTAATGCAAGGTCCTTTTTGCCATGTAAAATAATACATTCGCAGTTGCAGAAAATGAGAGTGTGGTCATGCTGGTGGGTGCATTATTCTGCCTGCCATAGGCACCAAGTCAAATAGAGGGGCTTTAGATTTTTAAAAAGTGATAGAGTCTAACTCCAGTTGCTGAGAGACACACCGCAAATGTCGCATCTGGCCCATAGAATAATTTTAGCAGTATTGCCTGCAACTCTATTGTAATTGTAAGCAAGATGAAATAAAACTAACACCTACTGAGTGCCCGAGTAAAGAGTGGCAGGCATTTTCTAGAAAATGTCTCAGTTATCATAGGTAGTTGTCAATTTTTACTTTTAGTAGATGAGAACCGTAAGACTTGAAGAGAGTTTAAGCAAGTGTTCAGGTCACTCAACTAGAAAATAACAGAGCTAGAATTCATATATAGGCACGAAGGAACTTCAGAAATTTTATGGAAAATGGAATTCAATGGAGTGTGTTTGATGCAAGATTTTTTTTTGAAAACTCTGCATAGTGTTTTTCTGTTTCTTTCTTTTCTTTTTTTCTAAGGCTTTTGCTATAGACTTTGTGTGTCCACCTGAGAGAGACAAAAAGAGAGAAAGCAAGAAGTCACCCCTCCAGGAAGATGGCCATGTCACAATCTTTTCTCTTCCTTTCCCCTCTCAGAACTCTGGGCATGTGCACATATACACCCGGTGTGATTTTCAAGCTGTTGAATCTGGGACTTGAATTGCAGCCGACCATTGGGAGTCCAGTACCTTAACCACCATGCCACCTGCTGACCCCACAATGCATAGATTTTTTTTTCATAATACATTTTCCATGAATTGTTCAAAGACCCTACAGATGTCTGACCAGGAAGTCTATGCCTTTAAATTACTTTTATGATGTGATAGGGGAGGTGAGAGAACTCCCTAGGACACACTACTGCACTCACTACAAGGTCACTCTTCCAGGCTCAACCTGTGTAGGCAAAGAAAGAAAGGATAGAGAGGAGAAAGGAAGAAGAACGGGGAGAAGGGAGAGAAAGACCCTAAATGAGTGATGCATAGCAACCTGAATTAGAGCAGCCGCAGGTATGGAAAAGGAAAAGCAACAGACAAGGTCAGGACTAGAAGAAAGAAAAACTCTTAAGATCTTTTTTAAAGCACAGCTTCAAAAATGATAGCGTTCATAAGAAGAGCCCCAGTCAAAGAATTACTTGGGTCTACACAGAGATATGCATGCACTCGCATGCATGTGCGTGTGCATGTGTTGTTTTCTTTGTTTTTGTTTTTGTTTTTGTTTTGTTTGGTTTGGTTTTTAGAGAGAGTTTCTCTGTACCCTTCCTCAGCCTCCCAAGAAAGTGGAACTAGCAGTGTGAGCTTCCACGCCTGGCTGTTCAGATAGGGTCTCTCCACGTTGCCCACAGTGGTCCCAAGCTCGCATCCTCCCACCTCAGCTTCCTAAGTACCTGGGACTACAATTGTGCACAACACACCCAGCTTTTCAGAGGGGGCCAGAAATGGAACGAGGCCTCCCAGGTGGCCTCAACCTGCCCCATGGGAGTGTCTTTCCTGGCCATAGTCGGCTACTTCCTAATCAACTCTTGTTTCAAATGTCAAGTCCCAAAGATTGACTATTGGTTTTTTAAGCAAAGCACCAATATTTTTCATTAGAATCCCCTTGAATCTATTTTAGAGAGAAAATAAAGTCTATTTTATTTACTTCTCTAATTCATATTCATATTATTTTTCAGTTTATTGCCACTGTTTTATAGCAACTGTGAATTTTTTCCTTTTTATTTACTTTCCATCATTGTACATCTCTACAGCACACAGTATTTTTTTTAAAAAAAAAGTCTGAATAAACAAAACAGTTAAAGAAAAAATGCATTAAAGATAACGTCAACTGAGTTATGTATTAGTTGCAATTCACTGAAAAACAAAAATAAAATAAAAACATTAAAAAAAATGAAGTACTGTAGCCAGCAGATAATGTCATGGTTACATCGCTAGTCTCCCACATGACCAACTGCAGTTCAAGTCCTAAACTGGGTGGCTTGAAACTCAGGCCAGGCACATGTGTGTGCATGCCCAAAATCCCAGGAGAAGAATGGAGGAGAAGGGACTGTGGCAAGACCATCCTCCCTGGGGAGTGATTTCTCACTTTCCTTCTCTCTGTCTCTCTCTCTGGCGAGCACACACACCCTAAGGCAAAGACCTTTATTACAAAAACAAAACAAAGTACCAATATTTGCTCGTGGGCAATTGGCTTAGTCATTAATTGATCATTTCCATCCACATGTATGCACAGATAGTTATGAACAATTATTTTTAGTAAAACAGTCTCCATCTTTTAACTGCTCACAATTCATGTACTCTTTTTAACTACTTTATCCCTGAGGATTTAGTAAGAAGTTACATTATTTGAAATGAGACAGTATTTGTTCGAACATGTCCTACTTAGGCTTAACTTTGACAAAAGGATGTTGATCTCATAAAGGGGTCTGCCATTAATTAGCAAGAAAAGTATTTTTTTTTAAGAGAGATTTCGTGCTACAGGGCGTGTACACTCAACAGAGAGACTGAGAGAGGCAGAGATAGAGATTGAGAAATCACCCCCCAGGGGGACGGCCATACCACAATCCCTACTCCTCCATTCTCCTCTTGGGATTTTGGGCATGCACACACACACACCCAGCATGAGTTTTAAGTTGCCAGGTCTGGGACTCGAACCACGGTGAACTACATAGGAGTCCAGTGACGTAACCATTACACCATCTGCTGGTTCCCAGCAAGAGAAAGTATTTGAGAGAATAATTGCCTATAATCTATTTACCAAAACTCATTTGAAAGAAAAAAAAAAATGGGGGAGATTTTCTTTAAAATACATAGCTTCCATTTCTATAGATACTCTCAAACTTACGGTGAATTTATTCAGATACACATGTGGCCCACATGATTTTGTAGGTGTTCATGGCCCCAGTAAACACGCCTTGATAGACTTTTTTGTTGTTGTTTTTTAAGGTTTTTGCCATAGGGCACATGTGCTTGCCAGAGAGAAAAAGACGGATAGAAAGTGACTAGAAAGTGACAAATCGCCCCCCTGGACAGGGGCGGCCACACCTCAGTTCTTTCTCCATTCTTCTCTCAGGATTTTAGACACGCATGCACACACACCTGGTGTGAGTTCCAGGCTGCTGAGTCTGGGACTCGAACTGCTATTGGCCATGTGGGAGTCCAGCACCTTAACCACCACGTTATTTGTTGGCCTCTCATAGACTTTCTTTACCAAATTATGTATGCCTTTCCATTACAACTGCTTACACTGAGGGACAGTAAAAGAAACAGCCTTTTTTTTTTTTTTTTAAGAGGTTTTTGCTA